CCTCCCCCTCCTCCTGCCTCTCCGTCACATCACACACAGCCTGCTGGGATTTTCCACGTTCGTTTGTTTATGTCTGTTTCTGTCACATGTCCACGTCGGACAAACAAAGACAAAACACGGGACATCAAACTCTGGGCCGTGGGCCAACAGTGGCCCATGGACCGTATCAACATGGCCTTAGACTTTTTTAAAGGTTTCCAGATCAATTCATCTGGGTGCCTGTCTCTGGGTGAGTTCTGGACGGCTGTCCTCGTTTTAGCTGGGTTCTATTTTTAATCCCATTTTTTTAAGCTCATGTTTTCCAGTTTTTTTCCGACCATTTACCAGATGATCTTTCCTGTTAAACTGTTTTATTCTGGAACATAAACCTGAACAAACCTGTTCACCTGGACTGCTGTCAAACCTGCACTGTCTTCTTCAGTCTGTGACTGTGGAGTATTGGCAGTAAACAACTGTACGGGTCATTTACTGCGAGGACAATAAAGACTCCGACTGTTATTGTTTTCATACGACCGCGTTACACCGTGAAAGAGCGACTGTTTGTTTTCTGACTCCTGGTGTGGAGAAAAACAGGAAGTGATTTCACAGAAACAGGTGGAACGCTGCAGAAAATGTGACACGTCACATGACAGCTCCGTCAGCCAATAACCACTCAGTAAAGATCAGTTGGTGAAACACAACCAAAAAAATGTAATTTTTAACAGAATTTTAGAAACAAACTATTTCCCCCTGAGAGACGATGACCTTCAGACACACCAGAGGCTCCGCAGAATCCCAGGAGTTTTTACTCTCCTGCTCCGGAGCAGAGTTTTGTTTCCATGTTTTAAAAAGTATGAAATATAGTTTCAGCTGCAGAAAGATCAACGAGAGGAAGTCAGAGTTTAGTCACCACGGCGTTACTGCAGACACTGGTGCTGACGGTGACCGGGAATGTGTTTTTTTTAATCACTACGTCATGTTCACTCTGGTCCTGGTTTGACGGTGTGAAGCAGGTGACCTGGAGTCAAAGACGATTAACCAAAACTCATCCATAGGGTCACGCCCCCCATGTTGAGGACCAGTGGTCGTGTCTGTGCTCAGATCAGCGCCGTTTCTTCACTTGGTCGTATTTTCGTTTCCTTCTGAATCGACATCATTCACACGACGGCGTCGGTCTGAAGACGAACGCAGTGTTTGGAACAAAGACGTTCTTCAATCTGTCCTTTG